CAAGACACACAACAACACCCAGCCACAACAAACCTTTGAGCTGGAGAGTGAAAGGTCGTAGAAAAATGGCAATGATATCCACTAAAGTTCTCACCTGTGCTTGCGGTGGCTGCTTGCTTGTGTGTTGTGTGTATTGTGTGGTGTGTGTTGTTGTGTGGTGTCACATCACTAGTGCACCCCAGACCCCAAAGCTCTCGCTCACACACACACACACACACACACACACACACACACACACACACACACACACACACACACACGTTCACACATTCACACATTCTCTCTCCTCGGCACTGTCTGTTGTTTAATTTTATCTGCTTTCTGGTGCAGCACCCCACACACATACAACAGTACACACAAAAGCACACACATGCACCGAGAAGAAAAAGAAAGAAAGTCCAAAACGATGATGATGATGACGCATGAATGGATGGAAATGAGAAGAACACGCGCGCGCTCAGACTGACGATCAAACGGCAAGACCATGCATTGCTCAAGACAACAAACACCAACAGCTGGCTGAGGGGACGATGATTCGCCCACATGTAGGGAAAGGGGCAACATCAACTAACAACACACAACCAATAAAATGCGCAAGACAAAACAGCCACACCCTTCATTGGCTGTGAAGCGTGTAGGGAACAGCAAGGGCAAGACAACAAAACCAGCATGGCCACCACAATGTGGTTTCAACACGTGCGTCAGTCAGTCAAAAACAAAACTCAGCGCGCAGGTAAGGAAAACCCCATACATGCATAAACACACAAGCAACACACGCATACAAGCGTACATGGGCCGCATTAGGATCCATGTTGGCGTGAACAACAACATCGACCCAAGGAGCAGACACAGAAGCAAACCACCCCATCGGTTTGTTGCCGTTGTTGTTGTTGTTGTTGTTGTTGTTGTTGTTGTTGTTGTTGTTGTTGTTGTTGTTGTTGTTGTTGTTGTTGGTGGTGGTGGTGGTGGTGGTGTTGGCGAGCAAGGACTGCGCGTCAGCAGGCAGCACCGCTTCTGCGCGTCGCGTCATCGCACAGGCCGAGAGGAGGGGATATCGTACTGGAGAAGGAAGACGTCGTCGACAGCAAAGGGCACAACACGGACGCGTCACATCACATCACATCATCACATCACCCGACACACCGACAGGACACTGGGACACACAGCTAGGATGAGAGAGGAGGGGACAGGAGTGGGACAAGCCCGCTCAGCACGCGCGGAGGTGGTTGGAGAGAAGGGCAAGGTTGCCTGCAGAGAGGGACTGCAGCAGCTTTGCTGTCTTGGCGTTGGACGGCATGTTGCACCAGCCAATGCTGTTGTGATAGTCTGGCGAAAGAAACAACGACGACAACGAACGAGGACGCGTACAGCAGCAACCACCACAAGCAAACGGATGAGCATCGTCATGTGTGTGTGTGCGCGCGCGCGCGCGTGTGTGTGTGTGTGTGTGCGCATGTGTGTGTGTACATATGTGTGTGTGTGTGTGCGTGCGCGCGTACATGTGTATGCGTGTGTGATTTCAGTTTGCCAATCCCACAATCGCATGCTGGGGTGCGTGCATTGTGTACGCTTACCGAGGAAGGAGGTCACCTCCACATCGCTGGCAATCCCATAGGCAATCTTGTACGCGGAGGTGGCGAGGGAGGAAGGCACGGTGCGTGCGTCGTCCACCACGACAGCCTCTTCGTCGCCATCACCATCGCCATCACTGCTCGCAGCGGCTGCGGAGGGCGTGGAGGATGACAGGCGGTGGCTCATGTTGAGCATGGTGCGTGTCTCGTCGTTGAGGTCAGCAAGGACGCCAGAGTAGGTGCTGGTGGCGGCGACAATACCGACGCGGTCGAGGCTCGAGTGGTTGCGGAACACCTTGCGGAACGTGCGCACCAGCGACATCTGTGTGTGTGTGTGGGGGGGGGGGCAGATGCGAGAACAGCGGCATGGCGGTGGCGAAGAAGGGAGTAGAAGGGGGATCGAAGGTGAGGTGGTGATGAGTACGTTCCAGTGGTGGCTTCGTTGAGGAAGAATGGCATGCTCATACACACACGCACGCAACAACACAACACAACACAACACACACACACACAAGGAGCGCAAAGCATACGTCCTCTGGGTTGACGGGCTTGAAGTTCTCGTCGAGGACAGACGTCTCTGGCTCAAAGAGGCCGTTCATGTCGTCGACCGCCAGCAGCACATTCGGTCTGCTCATGCACAGGGAGTGAGGTAAAACGGGAGGTAAGGAGGGCAGCGAGGGAGCATGAGTCTCAGCACGCACGCGCACACCCACGCGCACACCCACACCCACCCACACCCACACCCACACACCCCCCCCCCCACACACACACAAACGAATGTGCGTGCACATGAAGCGATGTCGCAATCAGGCAAGTGTGGGCAGCACGACACGTGAGACGGTCATGTAGTGAGGCCATGTGCCCACCTGTCCTTTGCTGCCAGGAGCTCCTTGACAATGACACCGACTATGTCCGCAGAGGACCGGTCATCCTCCTCAATCAACGACAGGAGCTGTTGAGAACGCCACCAGGCACAAATAAGGGATTAACATGAGATGTGCGTCGCGCGCGCGCGCGTGTGTGTGTGGGGTGACATGTGCATTCCTTGTACACTTGCGCACACACACGCACACACACATGCACACACCCCCTCCTGTCGCATGAGCGGGTGTGCCCACCCACCTCCTTGAGTGGGGTGCCGACGGCGGTTGTGTGGGATCCTTCCAGCCACGTGTACTTCTTCGTCGTCTTCAGCTGTACACACGCGAGATTGAGCAAAGTGCGTTTGGGGGTGGGTGGGGGGAAAGGGGTGAATGAGTGAAAATAGCATCATCACATCCCAAGGCACTGCGAGCGAGTGAACGGGCGTGTCCATGTACACACACACACACACACAGACACACACACACACACAGACACACGCACAGACACACACACGCACACACACAGACACACACGCACGCACAACCGAACAACCAACCAACCAACCAACCAACCAACCCAACAAACACACATCAGCAACCAACCCAACCAACACAAAGCAACACAAGCAAGCAAATGACGACAAACAACACGCACGCACGTCTGCGATGCGGTCTGAGTTGAGCTTGAAGAAGCTGTTGAGCCAGGTGATGGCGTCACGCGTGCTGTCCACGCGCCCGGGCTTGTACGTCGACATGTCAATGTAGTGCGGCTCGAGCACCCACCGCGCCCCAGAGGACACGGGAAGGACAACCCAGCCTTCCTTCCAGTAGCGGTACGACAGATACGCAAGCGCCGTCGACTTGCCGTGGCTGCGTTCGATTGGTGTGGTGTGGTGACGGGAGCAGGAAGAGGAGAGAGGGAACAAGAACGGAGCAAAAGGAGGTAAGAAACATGTAAAGGGAGCATACGGCAAATTGATGGTCACGTGTGTATCCTGCACATGGGTGCCAGGTGGTGTCAGCTGGCCACGCCAGGCACCAGCTCGTACCCGTCCTTTCCGATGAGGAACACCTGCGGCAGCGCAGCCTTGTCCTGGTGGCGTAAACAAGAAGCACACACACACACACACATACAAACATGTGCATGTAGGACACGGTGATGGTGAGCGGTTGCAACTCGATACGTGCTGCCAACACCTCTCACTCTTCACTGGCCCACACAACACAACACACCCCGCCAAGCAGGCAGGCGCAAACAGGCAGGTACCTTCTGCGCGTCGATGATGCTGGCGACCTTCATGGTGCTCTGGCGGAGGAGAAACGAGCAGAACCCCTGCTGCCGCACCTCGTCGCGACGGCGGCGCTTCAGGAACACGTCGCTCACAACGGGCTCGTCCCGCCGGTCAACAATGAAAAACGAGTTGGCATCCGCCATCCCGTGCTCCACCTGCTCCCCATGGTAAATGCGCATGTGTGTGTGTGTGTGTGTGTGTGTGCGATGGCGGCGGTAAGCATCAGCACTATCAAGCTGGTGGACAACGCAATTCGACATTGCAACTCCACCACCGCACAGCACAGCACAGCACAGCACCGCACTCCGCCCACACAGCACCACACGACGCACCGGGTTGGTGGGAGCGAGACGGCACTTTGACTGCTTTGAGCGGCTGCCACTGCGCTGCTGCGGCGGTGATGAGGTGAGCGTGGTGGCGTCCTCTGTTGCGCTGAAGATGCTGAGCAGGTCGCTTGTCGTCGTCGTGTTGGTCGAGCCCGCGGCACCAACGCACCGCGCCGCATGCAACAGGCGCCTCTGCACACGTGCGAGCATCATGGTGCTGCGTGCTGCTGCTGCTGCTGCTACCGCTGCTGGTGTGGCAGTGCTCTGCGTGGTCCAACTTGTTCTTCACCGATGTGCTGGCGACGCGCAATCACCACGCGTGACTTTTGGCTGCTGGTGAATGTGATGCGATATGGGGCCAGGGATGCCGTGCGTGCGTGCGTGTCAGGTTTCCAACCAGTCTGTGGCGGTTTGCGGTCCAGATCGATGTCTGTTCTGCCTACATTTGTTTTGGGGGAGGTGGGAGGAGAGCAGGGTGTGGTGGGTGGTGAGCAACCGCGAACTAGTGTGCAGGGTTGAGCGAAGAAGGGTAAAGATGAGGGTGCGTAAGGTGACACGCAAGCTCCCAACAGTGGGAGGGCAAGTGAAGAAAAGTGCCAGGTGTGGGCGATGGGATGAGGGTGGTGGTGCACCAGGCACAAGCACAAAGTATGCAGTGTAGGGAACCCTGGCGCACACGCACCCGTGCCCATGCACTGCACCCAAACACACACACACACACACACACACACACACACACACACACACACACACACACACATACACACGCACGTGCACGAGCATGTACGTGCGAACAACATCAACGGAAGCAGTGCCAAACGACAAAGAAGAGCCAACGAAACTCAACACAACAACGACAAAAGAAAAAGAAACAGACAATGGGGGTGGGTGGGTGCTTGTGAAAGCGAACGCGGGAGGAGGGAGAATGTGTGATGCAAAGTGCAGAGTTCCCCACCCCAATGCAACACGTGCACACACCCGTGACACAAACACCCAAATGAACGCAAATGTGTGCACACGCTAGTGCCCACGATGGCAACGAACCATCCAAAGCAAGCCAATGAAGGTGAGGGGAGGGGGATGGAGCCAGCAGACAGCCGCCACAGAGGCGGTGTGGATGAACAGAGACAGGCGAGGGATGAGCGGAGGGAGGACGAGAGAGGTGATGGTTGCGCATGGGAAGGGGGGAAATGCTTCGACGTCAATGCCAAGAACCAAACCAGGCACAAAGGCCAGGCCAGGCACAGCGACGGCCCAGCCAAACAAAACAACAAGCGAGCACAAGTGTTGGGGGGGGGGTTGGTCGCTGACATGATGCATGTACAGCACACGGGACACACGCAGCCGATTGGCGCGGTGTCACTGCTACGCACAAGCACGACCCAGCAATTGAGGACTTTGGCCCGCGGAGGAAGAGAAAAGCAAAGCCCCGGACCAGTCCCACACACCAAACACCATCACAAAACATACACCACACACACCTCCAAAGTGCACTCACAAGAAAGAAAGGAGTGTGGGGCAAGCAAAGACGAAGGAAAGAAAACGGAGAAGAAGCAGGGCAGTGTGGAGAGAAGGAGATCACGCGTGTGATCATGATCACGCACCATCAACAAGGAGAAGGTGCACCACACATCAAGCGTGAGGGGTGCAACATGGCCCACACATTGCCACTGGCACGGGTGCGCGAAACACGAAAGCTCACCTTTGGCGATGGCGTGGCTTGGTTCAGTTGGTGCGTGCTTGTGTGCTTGTGTGTGTGTGTATGTGGGTGACGCTGCGTTGGTTGATCAGTGTATTGGTTGATGATGAGTGTGTTGGTTGGTTGAGTGAGTGAGTGTGTGTGTGTGTGTGTGAGTGAGTGTGTGAGTGTGTGAGTGTGTGAGTGAGTGTGTGAGTGAGTGAGTGAGTGTGTGAGTGGTTGATTGATCAATCAATGGTCGGCACCAAATGAAAGAGGTGAGCGCAGAGACCAAGACCAGCCTGGGTTCGCACGCAAGAGCACAGAGGTGTGCTTGTGTTTGCGCACTTGTGTGCTTGTGTTTGTTTGTGGACTTGTGCTGCGTGTGTGTATGTGCTGATCAGACAACACAAACACAAACACAAACATACACAAGCACACACACACACACACACTACCTCTGTGTGCACGAGCAGCGGCGGCTGCGGATAGGTCAAAACAAAAACAAACATCCAAACACACACACACACGCGCAACCAATCCACACACCACTCGCTCAGCAGTGTTCTCACTCACGCTGGCTGGCTGGCTGGTCGCGAGCAACCTGTCTGTTGTCGTGCTGCTTGCTGCCTGTGCTCGTGTTTCACACGAAGAAAACTGCAGAGTCAGCACAATTTGGCTATGAACCTGAATTCAGTTGTACCAATTGCTGACGGCAAACTTCGCTGATGTGAACTTCGCCACATTCCTTGAGCTCCTTCCTGCTGTGAAATGACTTCCATGACGAGATGTGCTCTCGCAACCCTCCGCACACGCCCCTGCATTCATGTCACACTCAAGCACTCACACACGCCCCTGCATTCATGGCACACTCAAGCACTCAGCACGAGCGTCAACAAACAAAGTGAGCGAGCGAATCCAAGCGTGGTGACGACGACAAACGGCAACAACGACAATGCCCAAGGTGCTTCCAGCGGCGCTGCGCATGATGCTGGTGGCGGCGGTGGCGGCGGTGGTGGTTGCAGGGCCGTTGTGGGGATCCAGCTCCAGCGTAGCTCATGCGAGCACCGTGGACATGGCCATGCCAACACCGACACCATCATCCTCCTCGCCATGGCTTTCCTCAACGCCTGCATCATCCACAGCCACCAAGCCCGTGTCCAGCAGCACCACCAGCACCAGCACCAGCACCACGACCAGCACGGCCACGAATGTCATTGCTGGCTCTGTGCTCGTAGAGTTTCCAGACAATTTGATCGCAATCGCGCTCATCCTTCCACTCAAGGATGCCCTCGCCAACGCCTCCAACGTGGACACCACTGCTGCCGTCACCATCGGATCCGTATCAGTCGCCACGGATCTTGCTGGCACCAACCCTAACACCAGCACCTACAGCATCGCATACGAGGTGTGCATGTGTATATGTGTGTCTCTCATGTTTCTGTATGTTTGTGTTACATCATTTATGCCTGTGTTTGTGTGTGTTTGTGTGTGTTTGTGTGTGTTTGTGTGTGTTTGCAATTGTGTAAGGACTGAAAGGTACAGCGATGTGACCATGCCATCAAGCCACATGGCCACGATGCCATGATGCCATCACGATGCGTTGATGATGTGGTGAAACGTCTGGTTGACAGCACGACTGCTTCGGTAGAGTCGTTGGACATGCACCTGGAACCTCACAGCCACCCTCTTGCTTGCACGCTCACCTTGCTTTCTTGTGGAATTTCCATTGCCCTTCAAGGTGCATCGTGTGGCTGTGACGGAGACTGAGCAGGCCGTTACCCAACTTACACAGCACATCAACAAGTACGTTGTCGCTTGTTTTAGTGTTCACATCGCAATGACAACATCGTTCGTTGCCCCATATCACCACGACTGTCGTCTCCTTTTGCAGTCTTATCAGATCTCCATGCGTTCCTAGCACTTGCACCGACAACAGTACAACGAACGAACAACAACGCCATCGTGTGCTCATCATGCATCGTGTGCACATGTTGACAGAGGCGATGTGGAGACGCAAGTGAGTCGTGAGGTCGGTGTTGCCGTCTCCATCACCATCAAGGACGCGCCTAGCATCGTCACACGTATGCACATCCTCGCTGCTTGCCTCCCTCCACTCACACCGCATCTCCAATGTAAAGACCACATCATGTCACACAAGAACACTCATCGCCCTCAATAATTTGTGGGGGGGGGGGTCATTTCGTAAACAGGACCAACGAGCACACAACAAGGAGGCAGAGGAAACACCATCGAGTCGACGACCACAATAGCAACCACAGCAACGGATGATGCAGGGTCAAACACCTTGACCATCACCACCACCTTCGACGGGCTGCCAGCTGGCGCTTCTCTCACCGTTGCCCAGCAGCGCTCACTCACCAACACCTTCCTGACATGTGAGTGCGAGCGCATGCATGTGAACTGATGCTGCAGCAAACGAGGGGTTGTGTCACACATGCTGAATGCTCCAAAACGCGCGTGTATCCGCACCACGCACACACACACACTGCATATGCTGTCGTTACTCGTATCGCGCGCACAACTGACTCGTATCTCACGCTCCCCAACGCATCCCCACCCTGTACTGCACCGTTGTCAATTCCACACACACACACACACACACACACACACACACACACACACACACACACACACACACACACACACACACACACACACACACACACACACGCACGCACGTAGCCATTGGCCTGTCAGCATCGCAGGTGCTTGTGAGCATTGATGTCGCCGTGCGCGGCACTGCAGTCGTGTTCACGCGCGTTGTGTCGACACGCCCCTCCGACACCAGCCTCGCCGCTGAGGAAACCCTCACCCTGCCAGCCGCTGTCACCACACGCGAGGGGAACGTGCAGCTGGTGTCGCTCGCAGCAGCGAGCGTGGACGTGGCCGACTATGAAGGTGACCCATCCGCCGGCGGCAGCAGCAACGAGATCTTGGGCCTGTCCAGCAACACCTTCCTTGGACTGATGATTGGCGTCACTCTGCTCGTGATTCTCATTGCATACATCGCGTTGAAGCCCGCGCCAGCGCACGATCAGCAGCACGCCCCAGACAAAGATGGCGATTACCACCACCACGGCCAGCACCACTCTCCTCGCCGCCACAGCCACGCTCACCACCCCCACGTGCGCCGCCGCTCGAGCGTGTTTGCGTATGATGCGCAAATCGCCAACACCCCGCGGTACGAGCTCGTCAACAGCAGCGATGGTGGTGCTGACGGCAGCGCAGACGATGTTGGGGTTGCCTGCAAGCAACGCCCGCATGCGTCTCAGGCACAGAGCAGTGCCGGCTGGCGTCAGTTCATTGAGAGCGGCGTGTTGCCGGAACGACAGTCCATGCGTGGCCGCCAAGCATCAAAGCAGCAGCAATCGCCGCGAGCGAATCGCAGGGACAGTGGAGAGCCAGGTACGTGTGTGTGTGTGTGTGTGTGTGTGTGTGTGTGTGTGTGTGTGTGTGTGTGTGTGTGTGTGTGTGTGTGTGTGTGTGTGTGTGTGTGTGTGTGTGTGTGTGTGTGTGTGTGTGTGTGTGTGTGTGGGTGTGGGTGTGTGTGTGTGGGTGTGTGTGTGTGTGCTGTTATGTCGTGGTGCGCGCGTGTGGTCGCGCATGTTCCACGCATGTGCGTGTCAACGCTCGTGTGCGTGTGGTGTACACGGTCTATGGTGACACTCATGCTGCCATAATCTTCCCCATGCTGCACACAACACACTCAACGATAGTGACGACGTTTTGGATGATGGACGGGTCGCTCCACGACATGGCACACACGCACGCACATGCACTCGAGCACGACATTGTGCCGCCCTTCGATGCATCAGACGGGGACTGGAGCGACGACAACGGATACGCAGGCAACGATGACGGTGACGGCATGCACGACGCGTTTGATGACAAAGCAAGATACGCGGCAGAGTACCTGGAGGTGGAGACGGACCACGAGGACGACGAGGACAACTGAGGCCGCATGGTGACATCGTGAGGCGGCGAAACAGTGACTTCAAATCGTGGCCATGATGATGATGACGTGGTGGCGTCGTGAGAGGGTGATGCGAAATGCATCGAGGAGGGAAGA